AAGACTAACATTTGATAAAGTGAAATGAAGTTTTAAAGAAATAGCCTTTCTACAGTGATTCTGATTCATGCAATTTTATAAATTTGTATAGATGCATATAGATAATGGAGCAGTAAAAGTCGATGAAGCCCATTGCTTGGCATTAACTCTTCACTCAGTGTAAAGGAAAGAGCCCATTTACCCTGTTCTTCTAGCTCTAGAGGAACTGCTAGTGGTAAGATGGACACTGAAGGCCCTCTAAGAAAAGCTTGCTCCCTTTTGAGTTTGACACCGCTGCTAGTCAGATTCTATATCTAGATGAAACTTCTGAATTGTGTTTAGTTCCATCTCCACCCACGTCCAAATTCTTAGGTCATAGTTGTCCTTCATTTCCTTCAACTCTCTCTCTCTCTCTCCCCACCCCCCCACCCGCTCTGAATTGGAAAGCAATAATAATTGTATTGGCCAACATTCAAAATATTTTCTGTTTTTTATTTTTTAAATTAGAAACAAGCTTCTTTCACATGTCAATCCCAGCTCCCTCTCCCTCCTCTCCTCCCTGCCCCCTCCAACATCCCTAGCCCCCCACCCAATCCCCACTTTGCTCCCCAGGGAGAGTGAGGCCCTCCATGGGGATCTCTAGAGTCTGTCATTTCATCCAGGGCAGGGCCTAGGCTCTCCCCCATGTGTGCAGGATGAGAGAGCATCCCTCCATGTAGAATGGCCTCCCAAAGACCATTCCTAAGCCAGGTTTAAATACTGATCTACTTCCTGAGACCCCATAGATTGCCAAAGCCTTCTAACTGACACCCAAATTTAGGGGTCTGTGTAAGTCCCATGCTGGCCTCTCAGCCATCTTTCTGTGGCCCATGATCTCCCCTTGTTCAGGTCAACTGTTTCTGTGGGTTTCAGACCCCTTTGATCATCACACCACACTCTTTGCAACTGGGTTCCAGGAATTCCGTTCACTGTTCAGCTGTGAGTGTCTGCCTCTGCTTCCATCAGCCACTGAATGAAAGATCTAGGGTGGCATACAAGGCATTCCTCAATCTCATTATTGGGGAAGGGCTTTTAAAGTAGCCTCTCCACTATTGCTTAGTTTTCCAGTTGGTATCATCCTTCTAGATCTCTGGAAATCATAATAGTGCCAGATCTCACCTCAAACCTATAATGACTATTATAGTATCTCTCATCCTGCTCTCCTCTATTCTTTCCCTGACTCAACATTTTTGTTCTCCCATGTCCTCCTTTCCCCTCCTCTTCTCTCCCTCTCTTTTTCCAGCTCCCTCTCCCCTTCCCCATGCTCCCAATCTGCTCAGAAGATTCTGTCCCATTCCTCTTCTCTGGGTTTCCATGCATATCTCTTTTAGGGTCTTCTCTGTTTCCCAGACTCTCTGGCAGTGGGATTTTAGGTTGGCACTCCCCTGATTCATGTTTAAAATCCATATATAAGTGAATACATACCATGTTTGTCTTTTTGTGATTGGGTTACCTCACTCAGGATGATTTCTTCTAGTGCCATCCATTTGTCTGCAAATTTCAAGATTCCGTTTTTTTTTCTGCTAAGTTGTACTCCATTGTGTAAATGTACCACATTTTCTCCATCTATTCTTCAGTTGAGGGGCATCTAGTTTGCTTCCAGGTTATGGCTATTACAAATAATGCTGCTATGAACATAGTGGGACAGACGTTCTTGTTGTATGAATGTGCATGTTTTGGGTATATGCTTAAGAGTGGAATTGCTGAATGTTGTGGTAGAGTGATTCCCATTTTCCTGAGGAATATCCATACTGATTTCCAAAGTGGCTGTACGAGTTCGCACTCCCACCAGCAGTGGAGGAGTGTTCCTCATTCTCCACATTCTCTCCACTTAAGCTGTCATTGGTGTTTTTGATTTTAGCCATTCTGACAGGAGTAAGATGATATCTCAGGGTTGTTTTGATTTGCATTTCCCTAATGGCTAAGGATGTTGAACACTTTCTTAAGTGTCTCTCAGCCATTTTAGACTCCTCTATTGAGAATTCTCTATTTAATTCTGTCCCCCACTTTTCAATCGGATCCTTTGGTGTTTTGGAGACTTGCTTCTTGAGTTCTTTGTATATTTTGGAGATCAGCTCTCTGTGGGTTGTGGGGTTGGTGAATATCCCAAAATATTTTGTGAATAAGGTACTATGCTAAGTACTGTATGATAGGCTATTGCATTCTCACTACTACTTAGATACAACTTATCACACCTCTGCACTTAAAAATATTTATTTAAATATTATTTATGTATTATATATAAGTATGAGCGCTTGTGAGTTTATGTGCACCACACGCATACAGGAAGCTACAACAGCTAAAAGGTGTTAGGCACCCTGAAACTAGAGTTACAGATGATTGTAGAGTTAAAGATGGTTGTGAATTACCATGTGACTGCTAGGAACTGAATCTAGGTCCTCTTCAAGAACACCAAGTACTCTCCACCACCGAGCAATCTCTAGCCTCTTGCATTGCTTTACATAGTGTGAGTATATGTTTGGGAATGTGTAAATTTGTGTACAGGTTGCCCAGAGAGTTCAAAAACTTATCAGATTTTCTATAGTTAGAGTTACAGATGGTTACAATCCATCCAGAGTGTGCATTGGAAACAAATTGCAGTTTTCTGCAATAGTGGTACATGCTCTTACTGGTAAGCCACCCTACAACCTCACATCTTTTTTTTTTCACAAATTCCATTTATTTTTTAATAAATTGCTATTAAGACAAAACCAAGGGTATTTAGAAGCTTATAATGTACAGATATGTGATATGGGACAGTCAAGGAATGTCCACAGAAGCCACAACATGAGAGATGAATGTGAGTTTGTCAAAAAATAAAAACAAACAAACAAAAAAACCAAACCAAAAAAAAAAAAAACAAGACTGGGAGGGCAGTGTCATAGTAGAGGGAAGAGTACATCAAAGGCTGCACGCAGAGTTGAAAAAGCCGAAGGATTAAGCAGGGAGGGGATGGTGCACACCTTTAATCTCAGCACTTAGGAGGCAGAGGTAGGAGGATCTCTTTGTGTTTGAGGCCAGCCTGGTCTATAGAGTGAGTTCCCAGGACAGCTAGGGCTGTTACACAGAGAAACCCTGTCTCAAAAAACACCAATGTGAAAGAGTATGCAGTGTACACCCTCACACCTTAATTCCTATAATATCCATCCCAAACATTTACTCAATTTCAGCTATTAAGCATTATACACACTGTTGATTCAGCATCTTGAACTCCTCTTGCCCCTATGTTTGTCTCCTAATAAAATGATTCTATCAAGACAAAGGGGTACTTTATTTAAGTGTCTTTAGTTTTACTCACTAACCACCTCAATTATCAATCTCTCAGAACCCTGGTCCTTGATTTAAATGTTGTAGAGAATGCAGTTACTTAAACAAATGCCATTATATGAATGAATGCCTGAGAGACACCTTTACCTTTTGTCAGGGATGACTGCATTATCACAAACTATCCCCAATGAATGACAACTTCCCACAGCAGTATGTAGTAGAAAAGAATATATGGGAGCCTTCTCAACATTCAACATTTTCCTGATTGAAGTAACATGTAAGATTGACTCTATTGCCTGTTGATCCTAAGTGATTAGTGACAGACTACAAGATTCTGAATATAAATACATTATGACCCTAAAATTATAGGAGAGAAGTTATTTTCTTGCATATAAAAGTCTATCTAAATGACATTCAAAGCTGTGCCTTAGGTATTAGAGTTATAAGCTACACAAAGTTAAGGTAACAAGCAATATTGATACAACATCCAACATTATTGGAGGCATGGACAGAAACAGCCTCTTAATAGCTTCAAGTAATAAGTATTTCTAAAAGGATAACATGATTTTATCCCTACAATTTCTATTACATTTGAGCTTGGCATGGTTGTGTCCCTATAATCCCAGAATTTGAGAGAACAAAATACGAGGATTGCTGCAAGTTTGATGTTAGCCAGTACAACAAAGCAAGATCCTGTATCAAAAACAAAACAACAGTTGGAGATGGGCCAGCAGTAGAGAGTACCTGCTGCTCTTTCAGAGGACTTGGATTTGATTCTAAACACCTACACGGCAGCTCAAAATCACCTATGTTACTCCAGTTCTAGAAGTGACCTTTGTGAGGACCAGGCATGCATGGTCTACACAGACACACACGCAGGCAAAACACTTGGATACATAAAATCAAAATTAAAAGCAAAACAAAGTCTGTTTTTATAAAATGATATTAACAAAAATGTTAAAACTCCTTTAGCTACAAAGAATGTGAAAAATAACCCTTAGTCTTATGAACATATTTAGCCAGGAATGTGTCTTTTAAAGAGATTTATAATCCCCCCATTTTTATGAAATCAAGGAATTTTACCATTTTAAGTCAATTCTTTTGCAGATCTTGGAAGGACCCAAGTTATTTGAAGTACATGTTTGTGTGTGCTCTCTCTCCTTGCCACAGTTCTGAAAGGAAAGCTGTGTATGTGCTACCTTGAACATACACTTTGCCTTCCTTTTCCCCCCACACTAATTAGGCAACATAAAGAGTTTTAATTGACATCAGGCTTTGAAAAAGGAGTCACAAGGTGTATTTCATCCAAATTCAGAGCATGCCAAACTAGTGTCAAAAGGAGGCAAGAAAAGTTAGGTGCCAGGTTGGTACTTAACAAACTCTTGCAAAACTACCATTTGTTTGTACTACAGCACCGTTTGTCTTACCATTTAAGCATGCGGCTGGGGAAAAACCTGTTGCCTGTTATAGAATATTCAATTCATCCGTTGTTTATGAACATTTTCTGAGTTTTTGTACTTATCTATGTAAAAACTCAATGGAATTATACACAAGTGAGCTTAATATGTTAACAAAATTTTCACTTGAAGATTCCATGAACCCCAAACACATTATTATTTCTATCCTCATCAGAACCTTATTTGAGGGAGGAAGTAATTCACCTTTAAGAAGAAAAGCACAATGTAAAGAAAAATGAACTTTAAAAGAGAGATCTGTTAGTTGGAAATCATTTATTGCCTCTATAAAAGTTTAAATAAAAACTCTACAAAAATTCACATTACAATCTGATATGGTTTTAAAGAGATAATATGCTTCAGAGGTAGTACCAGTAAAATGGGATGCAGGATTGCTAGAAGGGATTACTCAGTAAGCTAATGCAAAATAAAGTTTCAATGAGGAACAATATATACCCAGTATACAATTTAATGGAACAATCATAATTATATTTGCATGAAAATATCCCTTTTCTTCTTCCCCCCCTTGGCAAATCTGTTCTTAATAAAGGCTTGTTTATATCAACTGCAGGTTCACAAGTTAGTAGGCTATTTCATTAGAGAATTACAAAGCATAGCTTGGTGAAGGGCATGGCACAGTGCTGTCTGTCAAGGTTAACAACTTCAAAAGAAAATCTACTCTTTAGATACAACTGCAATGGTAACTCTTCAAAGAACAATACCTCTTTTCAATGTTGGGTATTTGAATGAAAATAAAATTTATTAAAATGTCACACCATTCCTGGTATTTCATCACTACCTCATGGATAAAAGGCAGCAGTTAAATTTTTCAGGATTTCTTTCAAAGATGATTATGAACAATCAGGCTAAGAGGAGGGGCTGAATACTCCTCCACAAAAAAGGAGACAAGTCATCCTTATCATTTAGTGTCTGTTTATATCTACCACTTAGCTTTTCTCTTACAAACTGATAAGACTGCCTAATAAAAGGGCCCTAAAAGTAGATGTTTCTGTCTTTGCAAAAATGAACTCTTGGTCATCTTTTGAGGTCTTGATATTAACAGTATACTGAACCCAGGGTGTGACTGGGCCACAACCTTTTTTCTTCAATAGTAACAAATATTTTTATCACTGATTACAGTTGCAGTGTAAAAGTCCTGTTGATAACTGACCTTACGACAAAACATCCCCAGGTTCCCTAACCAGGCCAATTTTCTTTTTAAAAAATTTTTTGCATGCGTTAATTATCCTATTCTCTAGGGCAAATGCAATTCGCATTTTCTTGCAACTAATTTTAGCTTGACTGAATGAGAAAGGTGCCTTCTTTTTGTTGTTACTGTTGTTTCAGGATTTGTTTTTAACTCACATTTTAGAAGGTAAGTACTCTCAGATATACATTATATGATTGGAAACTGCTTGACATTATAAGTTTAAAGCAAATATTTACATGTAGTTAAGTCGGAAAGAAATTTTCCCATTTACTTTTGCTTCTCTGAATGATACTTGTGGTAGTGTAATATGGTTTGATATTGTCAAAGCCCTAAAAAAGAAATACTAGTTAGTTGATCTTCACTATCATACACAGATGTGTTCAAGAAAACAGTCAAAAGTTGTCTTTTTTGTTTAAAAATCTCAAAACCAAATCCAGTTCATATATTTGTCCTCCTGAAGTGTTTAGGACTAAACATAGGGCCTTGTGCAAATGCCAACCTAGTTCCCCAGATTTATAATAGTTGCTTTTCTTCAAGATCTGTGTTATGTATTCAGTCTGCCAAAGTATGATTGTTTTTGCATTGATGCAACTATTTCTTTGGGTCTGACTATACAACATCTCCACTGGTATTTTTAAATGTATTAGTTCATATGTTCATAAAAGATATTATCCTGTGGCTGAAAGAAAAACGCCAGGATAAAAGTAGTTCTAGGTAGCCTGTTAAGACATATAGTTACTGAAACTTTATGAATACAGGTACAACTTATGTGTCTTCCCAAAATTACAGATGCACGTTTCCTTCTAAGCATCAGGTCTGTTAGAATTCTTAAATCAATTACAAGTGCTAATTGAAAACCTTTTATTAATATCCCTGAAAAGGTTAACAGGAAACATTTCTTTGTGTTTTGAAGCTTTCCTCAGCCTAACCCAATGTGGAGTTAGCCGTGTGTGCCATTGTACCCAGCTGAAATCACCCTTTTTGCAATCCATAGACTGATAAGAGATTCAGTCTGACGCAGTGTCTTTCTACAGCAAGAGCTCCATGAATGTTTTCTTCTGTTTAGTGACAATTATTTTAAGGTGTGAAAAATGAAATTCTGAGTGTTACAACACATAGGAAAGACTCACCTTTACTCTCTCTGTAATGAAAACCGACTATGAAGAGTTTTAAACTCAAGCAGTTTAAATGTAAAGATAAACCCAACCATACTGATGAAGACTGTAGCAGAGATTTGAGACTAGAAATTTGTTCATACCAGGACCTCGTGGAAGAGGGGTAGCATATCTGACCCCAGAAATTTAGTCATGCTAAAAAAATAGAACTTGGTATGCTGAAACACATCTATCATCCTAGCATATAGGAAACAGAGGCTGCAGCAGCAGGATTCAAGGCCATCCTCATCTATATTGGGAATTAAAGGCCAGCCTGGGCTACGAAAGACCTTGTCTTAATCCTCTATATCATAAAATAATGGTTTCTGTATTTGTTGCATATAGTGGGGACTCTTTATCATCTCATGGAGAAATTAGTGTGACTGAAACACTTAATCCAAATGTTTTAGGTTCTGTTGCTCAATGGTCTTTTCCCTGAATGGAATCTGATTTGTCAGCAAGGAATACCAAGAGTTGTTTGCAAAGAACCACATGACTGTCAGCTAAAGGGCATGTAGCTGACTACTGAAATATTTCTGCTGACAAAGAAGCCATAGAAGCTGTGTGGCAGCAATATAAAACCAAGTAGTCGATAAACTGAACGACCATCAATGAACTTTACTTGTATGTACTGGGGAGAAGGGACATTTCCAATTTAAAGGCATTTGTGACTGCCTTTCTGCATTCATCAATTGGTATCAGTGAATTCTGAGATCAGAATCAGCCACAGTTTAAAAACTTAAAATTGTTTGAAGCTTGACAATTAAAACAGTTATCCAGCTGTTTCAATCATCTTTTAGGATTAGATAATAATTTAATCATGTAATTTAGTTCCACACAACCAAGTCTCAAATATATGACAATGTGAGCTTGGGGAGAAACTAGTGTTTTCCCATCTACAAATCTTAGTATTCCCATCTGGTATTCTGGAAGGGAAGATCTACAAAGAGATGAATATAGTGTGCTGCCATCTGGTATCTAGTACAAGTAACAACTGGGTATCATGCCTATTTGAGGTGTGTATTCATAGAATAGTATCCAGGAAATTCAGAGTACTTTAATTTACAAAGTAGTACAGCTCTTTTTATATTGTTGTTGACTGATGGCTCTGTGCAGGCCTCATATAGGAACGAGGTAAATTTTGTGACAAAGTTGTATGACTACAATAAAAAGAAAACACATATCAGTGGCATACTTCGATTTCTTGCTTTACAAAATTTCAGATGTGAAAAAATATTATGAAAATTTTGGTAAACTTGAAGTATTTGTGCAATATTTTGTCTAATTCAATTATATAAATTTACTATATGGTAGAATGTTAACCGTTAATACTTATCACTTGCAGTATACAAGAATTGAGAATAAAACTCTCTTTTATAAAGTACTGTTTTTGTATACTTAAAAGTTTTGGCTTTTTGTTGGTTAGTCGACTTTCCAGAGTATTTTCACCTCTCCCCAGTTTTAGGGTTAGACAGAAGAATGCCAATAACTTACAATTACATCCTAGTAATCGCTTCAATTTCTAATCATTATCTTCAGTCAGATTTTCATAGGAGTTGAAAATAAATCCCAGGATTCATCTATGTTAAACATATATTTAGGTTTGTTTTTAATTTTCAGCCCACTTTCCACTTTCCTGAGTAAAAATCTATATGAATGATAAGAAAATGAAAGAAGAATAAAGATGTAAAGGCTACAAAAACAAGACTAATCAAGCTTTAATAACACAGTAATATTGAAATATGTTTATTTTTGTGTCTCTGGCTAAAACTATTAGTACGAATAAGCAGAAAAATCTCTCAGAAATCAGGTATAATAGATTTCATAGCTGAGTTGCTTAAAATTAAATATAACTTTTCTAGGATTTTATATAAGATTAAAAAATCCATTTCAAGTATTTTTACATTTTGCATGCATTGTTCTTTTATTGTAGCCATTATATCTTGTTCTTCCTTCATAGCATATACCTGTTTTAACATTGTGTTTTCCAGGTGAAGATTATTGGGGAAAAATACAGTTATCTTGAAATGCACACCTGTTAGGCAAACAACAGACTACATCATATCCCCCCATCCCTAATCACAAACTGTCTGAGGCATTTTTCTCTGATAAAGAAGACACACTGAGTGAGGTATCATCAGGATCCGGTGAGGCATGACTGAAATCCATCTCTTCTAATTCAGGAGGTAAATCTGACAGCAGTGCCTTATCAGAAAAAAATCAATTGTTTTAGATTAGTAGGCAGACATTTTCTTTCTAATTTTATGTTAATAGTTACAATTTTCTTGTTTAATTTACTCTTACGCATTTAAAGAAAGAAACACTTCTTTTTAAGGATCTTACCTAAAACAGAAAATTTCATATAATGCTAGGAAAGAACAAAATATTAGATGCCAAGTATGTGATTAGGTAGAGTAGAATCTTATACAAAGGGGAAATCAAGAGATAAATGAGTATCTATTCTGATGAGACAGGTAACAATCAGGATGGCATGGTTGTAGCTATAAGCAACTGTTCCAAACAAAGGATTTTAGTCAAGGGCTTTTAAGTGGTTGAGATAAGTGGTTTTCATACTAGTTTTTGGTGTTCTCTGATCACTACTAAAGGGCTTTAAAATTTAATTCTTCAATTAAAATAGCCATGCTTATCTATATTACCCTTTAAAGAATCCCACATTTCAACAAAGACCTATTTTGTTATTTGTTGAAAGAATGAATTTATCAGTTAGGGGAGAAATTCTTCTGTTTTACTTTAGATAAACGTTTAACAATTTGAAAAGACCATGTGGGGTTTTTGTTTGTTTCCTTTCCTTAAACTATGTCCACATAAGTGGCTAAGCTCCTAGTAGGGCCTGTTCAATATGTGGTTATGGCTGTTGTAATAATGTTTCTGCTCATTTCTTTGCTGGCACAATTAGGATACTCTAACATTTCCGAGCTAACCTTGACCATGTTTTCATTGTTTCATCTGTATTTGTAGAATATATATCTATACTAGAGAAATAAACAGTCATGTTTTATGTGGTTGACAGTGCTCATGCTCATTTAACCATAATAAATAGGACATAAAATTGCATAGTCTATCTGGAAAAATTTCAATAATATTACTTGTATTGTGGGTTTGGGCAATATTAGTAAACAAGAATCAAAGCAATAGGAATAAATGAAAGTTGGCCATTACCCAATTAAGTAACAGAAAGACTGGGTATGCTGGGGGAACATATATCAAATCAAAATAAGACATGATTCTCAATAAAATAGTGACAATTACACATTCTATAATCTTTGCCTTGTAGTATACAAATAATAAGAAAACACTTTACATTTTGTCATGCTATGCAATGAAAAACTAATTTATATGTTGAGAAAGTTATTATTTATTTTGTACCACTTAATTACCCATGGATTTTTTTCCTTTTTTACATTTAAATTTGAAACTAGCTTATTTTACATGTCAATCCCAGTTCCCTCTCCCTCTGCTCCTCCCCTGCCCCCCACCAACTCTCTATCCCATGCCCTTTCTGCTCCTCAGGGAGGGTGAGGCCTTCCAAGGGGAATCTTCAAAGTCTGCACATCATTTGGAGCAGGATCTAGGGTTCCCAAAGTCCATTCATGTATTAGGGATAAATACTGCCCAGGCCTCCTAACTGACACTCACATTCAGGGAGTCTGGGTCGGTCCTATGCTGGTTTCCCAGCTGTCAGACTTGGGTCCATGAGCTCCCCCTTGTTCAGGTCAGCTGTTTTTGTGGGTTTCTCCAGCCTGGTCTTGACCCCTTTTCTCATCACTGCTCCCTCTCTGTAACTTATCCATGGATTTCTTGCTGAAACTAGATGCACTTACACATGAGCGTAGCATAAAGATACCACATGCTTTCTTAGGTACTAAGCTGCAGTAATACGACACGTGTCATTTTCATCTAGAACAGTCAACTACTACTGATTCAGTTCAGGTACAGTGGGGCCTTTGCGAATACTGGCTGTTCAGAATGTAAGTAATACATCACCGGATTCCATTCAATCTGCAGTTTTGAATATGCCATATTAAGGATGGAAGGAAAGGGGTTAAAATTAGTGCTCAATGAACATGAGCTTCTCATATTGGAAAGTCAAGTGGATTAGAAAATTTTATTCTGTAAATTTTAGTGGAAACACCTGCAAACAGAGAAGCATTGCTATTTATTTCTTCTTCATTGCACTGCATATAGTTGACTGACTAAATAAGAATACAATTTAAATGTTCGCTATGTGAGGTAGTTCACAACACTATTGATGCATGAATTCCACCTAAAAATTCTTTCAATATCTTAGTAGATTGCAATATTGAGACATTAGAGAAATCTTTGCTAGTGATTCGAACTGCCTTTTTCACAGAGATAGAAATAAGCACAATTAAATTTCTCCTATTCTCCCATCCCTGGTGTTGCAAATTGAACCCAGGATCTCATTTACTCTGGAAAATAAACCACTAGGACGACTCACACATACAGTCTCAATATTTTTTATTATATGGTCCTCATCAGTAACAACTATTTTCGAGGTCTGACCAAGTGCCATTTTTCCCGAGAGATCATTAACACTTTCCCCAAATACATGCTCAGTGTCTGTAATACTTATTCTAGGCTCTAAGATGTGAATGTAAAATTGATAATCATTCTTATCCTCCTTGCAGAGTGGAGAAATTGAAGTTTAAGAAAGGCAATCGATCTGGCTAGGATCACACAGTGAATTATCAGGGGAAGAAAGACTATAACTAATGACTTAGAGCAATGTTGGCAACATTATCTGGATGTTAAAATGGCTATTATTGATTTAAAAAAGACAACCTTTAGGTAATCTAATTTTTCAGTCAGAAAGTACCATATATATATATATATATATATATATTTAAACCCTGGACTTCTTTATACAGGCGAAATAGTTCATAAATTGCTTATCTTATTCAACCTATCCATGTCAAGATTAATGAAAGAAATACTGTATTTTTTTAATAAGAGAGTAATGGCAAATGTTTCTATTTTGCTAGATAGAATAGAATAGAATGTGTTTCCAGAAATAAACTTCTGAATATTTCAAGGCTTAAACATCACTAGTTTAAGATACAACCTGGATTACTTTTACACATCACCACTAGTGTCATCCATGTAATTATATGTATTATTCATTAGTTTTCTGTTTTAGAGACAGAGTACAGGCTGTACACATGACCTTCCTGCCTCAAATTTCCAAGTGATTACAGGTGTGTGTTGCCATCATAACCAGTGTCTTTTATGCTTGGAGAATATACTTGGAAAATCATTAAACTCAATCTTGAGTATGAAAACAAATCATAGTTCCTGTTTAAGCTGTCATTTCTATAGGCAGTGGCATTAATTATAATTTTTGTATCATTTTCTATTTTGGCCCATATTGTGTTCATGTCTTAGTCTTTTGTCAGAAGAAAACTAGAAAAGGAAAGACAAAATGCTTGTTACTTTTCTTATTTGGTAGTAATCTTTGTGAAAGAACCAAAAGAACCAAAGCAAACTGAGATTAGAACTAGATATTCAGTCTGTGAGCTATTCTCAGATGTCAAGAAACAAAGACATTGACTAGTTAACTGGCTATGGAACAGAATTCAAAATTGATATAAGATTTTTTCCCAAGAAAAACATTCTAATATAGCCTAAAGTTGGAGGCGTCTCTCCTCCCCCTCTCTCCTCTGTGTGTGTGTGTGTGTGTGTGTGTGTGTGTGCACGCGCACGCATGAGTTGTGTGTCCTACAGTCATTTGAATTCTATACTACTGCTTGGATTGTGCTCCATACTATCACTCTTATTCATTTAAAAATCTGTATTTTAGAGTCTTATAAATCAAACATATTTTAATTATTCTGTACTTTGTTTGCTTGTTTTAAGGTAAGTTCTTGGTTTGTGGCCAAGGCTGAACTCAAACTCACAGCAGTTCTACTACTTAAGCTTTCCTATTGCTGGAGTGATGGCATAAGCTACCATGCCTGGCTTGTAAACACATTTCCATATGTCTTGAAATGTGCAAGCTGTTTATAAAGAAGCAACGCACTTAAATAAAGCTATCAATGGCAAGTAAAGCCATTTGTATTGTGATCTCTATGTATGTATGGTCAAGCTGAAAGAGTAAAATCCATGAAAGTGGAGAAACAATATCCATGCAGGTTTTAGTTCCATGAGGGGACTCTCCTAGTTTGACTTTGTGGTTCAGTATATCAGTTAAACCTACAAAGACTTCTTTCTTTGAAGGAAAGGAGAATTGTGGGATGTTTAGACATTAACGTTTTCCCTAGAAATGTCTGGGATGGCCTACATATGCACAATCTTCTTGGAGTATAAGACATAAGTGATTTTACTTTGGATAATTTTTGCTGAATAAAATCTTCTAAGACTATTTACTAAATCATAATTTACCTGCATCTCATACTACTCACGTATAACTTTTCTGATAAGGAGTTAGCATGGTTGTAAATAACTTAGCAGCAAATTTGGTTTATTTTTAAATGTAATATTTTGTATAATTAGGCTTAAGTGAATACATAGATATACAGGTTTTTCTTGAGACTATATTATATATAGAAAAACCTGAGGGTCAAATGCAATTTGGAAAAATATATAAACAAATATCCATAGCAAAAAGAAAGGCATTTCAGTTTTGGAGTGGAGGCCTCAAAACATTTTGACTTACATTGCAAAATGTGATACACTATGGCCACAAAGATTTGCACAAAGTAATTTCATGCTTTCTTAGTGAGGAGCAGCAACATGTCATAGAATGGACTGTCCAAACATTTGTGAACTCTACAGCTGCTAGTGGCTAAATAAATGCCCAAATTTTTCATTCAGAAAAAGTTCCCTAAACGTGCTACCTACCTATGGGTTGGGATAGCTCCACCACTACAAAATTATTGAGGAATTTCTTTAAAATAAAATTTAAAATTTGGTTTTCTCTACTTAAAGGCTATCCTGAAATTAAGAAAATATACTGATCAGCTATTTTGACTTTGTACTCTAGTATCAAACAAAAAACCTCTGAATACCTATTCTTAAGAAAACTATGATTTAAAAGATCATAAATAACCATTTTCTCCATGAAATTCTAAGACAGAATGGAGACTACAAGTGAAGAGATATGAAGAATCCAAATGTGACATGTCATTTTTCAACTCGACACATTGTGGCTTACTGGTCTCTCCTGAGACTTACCTGCTGTTGTTCCTTATCATCAGCTTTCATAGCTAGAATCAGGTTTCTAACAAAAGTCTGGAGCTTAAAGTACTTTTGCTTTTGAATCTCTAGCTCATTTTCAATGAATCTGACTTCTTCATTCTAAAGGAGAAAAATCAAACAATAAAATTATCCCACATAAACTCAAACCTATATAAGTTTGATGAACAATAAAATTAAAAAGCAATCAGAGTATTGAAACAATACAGAAAGTACAATTTTAACCATAAAGGAATATAAAACATAGAAATCATCCTGGTATTCAAATGCTGCCTTTTAAACTTGCAAATAGATTTCAGAAAGAGAGAAAAATAAGGAAGACTTAACTTCTTGGAGCAATGTTCTTATATCAAGCTTAATTAGCATTTGTATTAGAATTAAGAATAGAGTTCAATTAACCCCAATAGCAATAGAAAATACAGTAATATTCAGTATGTAAGTCAGAGGTGGATACCAAGTATTTTCTTTACTTGCTTTCCAACCTATTTTCTGAAACAGGGCATCTCACTGAACCCGAAGCCCACTGTTTGAGCTAGACCCAGTTATTCCTTTGTCTTTCCAGCATTGGGTTCAAAAGTATGTATCAGGGGCTAGGCTTTTCACGTGGGTGCCTTGATTTGTTTTTGTTTTGGTTTTTTTTTGAGGTTTTTGAATTGTTATTTTTCTTTTTCATTTTCTTTGAGATAGAGTCCCACATAGCTAGACTATCCTTGAACTTGCTGTACAGTTGAGGATACCCTTGAATTTCTGATTCTTCTGCCTCCACTTCCTAAATTCTGGGAGTGTACCAGCATACTAAGCAGAAAGGCATTTGAACACAGTATCTATCATAATTTAATGGTGACTCATTTGCATTCACAGTCTGCCTGAGTTGTACTCATAGTCCATCAGAAAACATTTTTAAAACATTAGTTTATATTTGCAAAAGTCACGAAAACATCATTCGTATGAAGATCTCTAATTTTTCATGCAAATATTTCCCTTCTTTGGTACTTATAAAATGTTTGAAAAGCATAAACAGCTTTAAGATAATTTAATATTGCAGACATTTTCTTCTCAGAAATGCTTTTTGCAAGTTTATTAAAGGCTTCCTAGATTATAGGCAGTAATTTATGTGTGCTTTAGAGGTTTTCTTAAATAAATTGACTACTTGGGAAAGCAACTAGTAAGACAATAGCAGTCACTGAACTTTACAAAACAAGGTCTAATTTAGTTTTGTTAAAAAAAATCTTCCCCACATTCCCAGCAAACCATTTTCATTTTTTCAAGATGCTTGTTGTGAGACACAAGGTTGCAAATATGCCAGAGCTTTGATCTCTGGGAAAGCTATTAATGGCTACCATGCCTGATGTCCTATTTTATGATATAGTTACTCATGCCACAGGTATTGTGTCCATCTACTTTCCTTCTAAGGATTTGGGGTTAGTCAGAACTCCCAGAAATATGGGTTTCTAATGATGGATCTCAAACAGGAATGCTATCACTTCTAACCTTTACAATAGTAAAATGCATTATAAAGAATATTCTTTTAGTTTCCTATAATAAATCCCAAGTACGAAAGATGAATTCAATGTGGGAAGGTTTAAAAATGATGTAGCTTCTAATACTAATTGAATTAACACAAATAAACATTTGGAAACTGTTATAATTATTTCCAGAGACAAATGAATTTACTCAATTACTTTCTAAGCAACTGCTTACTAAACATCTATGTGCCAGGTTCCTCATCCAAATAACACACAGGTGATTAAAATACATTTCTTTCTTCGTGAAACTTATTATGAATATGCTTAAGAAATGAAAAAAAAGTAACTTTCACTCTTAATCAAGGAACACTGATGTTTCTATTTAAATAGAGTACAGCAATTTTCTTCAAGGTATTAAATTTATTAACTGGTATATTCTATATCAATGCTCAAAATATGCAATGGAAATTCCATGTACAAAGTTCACAGACAGTAAATGGAAGCATTTAAAATAATGTTAATATAAATACCTTTTCTCTATATATGTGCACAAATATTGAGGATTCAAGGAAAGAAGTTTAAATGTGATAGAGATGACTATAAAGAATGTCCCTAACGACCTATTAGGGCATACCTTGTTCCCACAATATTTCCCACAATGAAAGACACTGGGTTACTAAAATGTCCATTAAAATTCAATGCAAACATTCACTGACATTGCTGCATTGGCTACTCTGCTCTTCCCTCCCTGGTCTTTAGCTGCAAACCTTCTCAAGTGGACTGGCATAAAACAGGGGAAAGGTTTTGGAAAGAATCCTCTAAGTCTTGAGCCCAACCCTATTTGACCTGTTCAGGAGTGCTAAGTGGGGCACACTTAACAGCTGTGCAATCCAGTTCTCTCGCCTGGACTTTCCACAGCCTGTGCCAAGAAGTGACCTGGCCTGCAGAGTCATTTTAATCCTGAACTGAGTATTTAGAAGTATTATATGACCATGGAGAATTTATTAGCATGATCTCTTCTAACTGAATATCAGCAACTTTATAATTCATCTAGTTGTAAATAGTTTATTTTTATTAAAATTTATTCATTTTTAAGATACACATTATATATTCTACACTGGTCTTGAAATAAGGGAGGTCTTCCTGCCTCAGCCTGGTGAGTGCTGGGATTATAAGTGGAACTTATCATATCTAGCTGTAAATGTAGTTTAACTATAGACTTTTATTGTGCTCTTTGACCACTAAGAAATAAATCTCAAAAGACAATTTCCCTTTGTGTTTATAACACAATATTTTAAAGCTTGATATGTTTTGGACATTAGGAAAACAAGATGTACAATGGGCTAAAATTCAGTTATACTATTCTGAAACTGAAAGGACTGTTTGAGAAAGGTGACAGCTGTTTTCTAATTAAATGGCAGCCTTTGTTACTATCATAAACTTTAAATTCTGATTATCCTCTACAAAAAGAATATTTGTATTTAGAAGGAAGCACTGCGTGCCAAAATTGCAGAAAGCCCAAAGTATCCTAGCTAGATGTACTGCTGAGTAACGAGGGGAGAACACTTGTACATCTGTGCAAGAAAAGTATTGACAAACAGACTGATAGCATATGTCAAAATTGAGTAAACACAAAATTATACATGACATACTACCAAAGGATGCCTTCCAATTTAGTAACAAGTGACATTAAGAAAAGGTCATCTCTATTCATATTCATTCTATATTTTAATTGGGAATTGTTTTTCAAATTCTCATAAAACAGTATCGTATCAGGTATAGTTCTAAAGACACTCTTGGAAGAGACTGCAATCCAATATAAAATTAGCAACGGATACTAGAAAAGAAATTCTCCCGTTTGCTAACACTTTTATGTTACTGTTGTGTTTCATTTGTTTGAGTCAGTGTCTTTCAATGTTGTCCAGCCTGGCTTCAAATTCCTGAGATAAAGTGATGGTCCTGCCCCATCACCATATACATCTGGGAGGCTGTGTACATACCACCACTCTAGCAGCTTTACCATAAATTCCACGTTAACTGCCACTATGTGTTGTTCCCACTGGCTGAACACCACCAATGCCCATTTTTGAGCGAGTAAATACTTTGTTTAAAACCATAATGGCCATCCAAGCCAGCAATATTAAAATGCTCAACATTTTGACTAATTTTCAAGTTGCCTGAGATAATAATTATAGAGGCCCAGACTACGTCGTCTGTCATATGGGATAATCAAAGGCACTATAAATCTTTTCCACTCAATAACTTCCCTTAATGAATTCAGAACTTGAAATTATTTTTACCTTATACTCCAGGAGAGAATTCACTTGCTCTACCTCTGGATTGCTTATCATGTCACTTTCTTCATCATCGATAATTTCTATTTTCTATAACACAAGCAGAGAAACTTTTACAAATATATATTAGATCATAAAACAATGTGTACTACATACCTATTTAATATTTAGTTTTGATGATAGAGTGATCTAGGTTATCTGGATTAGACCTCGATAATTGGCTCCTCAGTGTCACCCCTTATGTCTTTAATTGGTGATTGATAGTGCCCTTCACTGATAAGGAACTAGCTTTTAATCTCTCTCTCTCTCTCTCTCTCTCTCTCTCTCTCTCTCTCTCTCTCTCTCTCTCTCTCTCTCTCTGTCTTTCTCTCTCTCTCTCACACAAACACAAATATACACATTAGAAAGGAGTTCCTTTTCTGTCTCAACATGACTCTTTCTTCTAATGAAAATGTTACCATATGGCATGTATCCCAGAGGAAAATACAGTGTCTAAAAATTCACATATTTAATGTGCTCCATTAGCTAGACAATTGAAAGCAGACATCTAGGACATAATGATGAAAATTGCACGGGGATTTGTTTTCTTGTTTTCTTCATTGGACGGTAACAAAGACAGAAAGAATAGGACAGAGAAACAGAGAGATGTTCCCTTAGCTTCAGTATTGAGTATTAAAGCACAGCAAAGCTTGTGCTGTATCTTGTGCACTGGAGATAATAAGTAAATATCTGTCAAAAAACAATACATCTTAGTGCTGATATAAAGAACGACCTATAAGCCCCAGTCAGGAAGATAAAACAAAATATTTAGTCAGAAAGCTGTTTTAAGAAAAAGAAAGAAAGGCAAGCAATTAAATCAGTTTAAATATTTTCATTTGCATGTAAAAATGTAGTTGGGGGAAATAAGCTGCACCTTAAAATATTTAAATACTGTCAACCAAAAACAAAACTTAAAAAGGGAGAAGAACCAGATTTAGTCACTAGCCAGTCTTTTAAGAACATTAATACCAGCATGTCGTAGGCAGAATACGAAATTAGACTGTTTATCATGATGTTAAAATAAGTATGTGATTTAATAATTATATATAATGATAAAAATATATGATTAAATGTCATATGCAAGCCTAGAATCGTCATACTTGCTATACTGCCTCTGAGGATATGATACTATCACAGGGTTTCTGACCTGCAGTCTGCCTGTGAGTCAGAGGGACAGCTGCAGTAAAACTACCTTCTACCACTGCATAGAGATGAGTCTAATGTTTGTTTTCTATTATAATCAGTGTAAACTTGTGTCTTAATCATATCAGCTCTCTCTAGACTTTATGCTTCATACTTCTTGTTCAAAGGTTTTTAGATTTTCAACCTGGTTGCATCAGTTCTGAGGAAATGGGACTAGGTATTTAAGAAAAGAAGGCAGCAACAGACACTGTATAGATTTGTGCATATAAATAGGTCTTATACGTCTCTGTGATTTGTCATCCATGAGTAATTGGGGGCACTCAAAAGTTACAGCCAGAGGAGATCAACCTTTGAAAGTTTGAAGTTTGTCTCTGAAAATCAATTGTTCTTGAAAAATTAGGTGCCTAAGTGACTATGAGTCATACCATGCCATGTCTTCATTTATTATTTTCAGCTGTCTGCTGCTGGGGAGATTCGATGTAGAGAAATTCAGGCTAAAACTGAACACGTCTTTGGAGAAATACTTTAATTGTAAATAATTGTTTATTACATACTATAACTAAAATCTAGAGCAGAAGGAGATATTTGGTGATATTTAAAATGTTAGGAAAGTTCACCATGGAAAACAATGATTATTACTCGTTGGATTAAAAAAAAGACTGTCTTAAAATCAAACCTAAGTTTTCAATATGCTTGTTGAATTTAGTGTTTAGAAGAATCAAACATGGATTTAAGCCAGGACTAAAAAAAATAAATGAAATGCAATCCTAAACTCTATTTTACATGGGGAAAACAATGACAGATATCGTCAGAATTTAACAAATATGAGCCCAAATACATATTTTATGCGCTCCCCTTTTAATAAGTGATGTTTAGGATTATAAGGTCAAGGAAATAATGTTTGTGATAGAAGTCAGAGTATATTATGACATCACAGCTACTTTGGAACAGAAAAATACACTATAAGAGCTGTTTTAATGAAAATCATGCATAGAACTGTGATTTAAAAGCAAAAATGAAAATATGATGGAATTTTCTTTGTGTCTGACTTTGTTTAATTCTATCTTGATTTCTGTATCATTCTTTGAGGCCAAAATATAAACAAATTCTGCTAAAACAGCTGCTAAGTGAGCATCACTATACGTTTACATTTTTACAAAACCCAGTATAATCCACACACAGACTGCCCCTGCTGCTATTCAAATTCTTAAAATACTGTCTTTCATTCTTTGCTGTGATTTTGAAGGAAATTAACAGAGTCCCATTTAACCAGGGAAAAGGAAAGTTTTCAAATACAGTATAGATAGGTATGGTCTAAACAGAGAAGCCCTTGGATGCAAGCACTTGTACTAACAAAGGCTTCCTTCACGATCTCCAGCTAAACTTCATTTCAGTTCTGCCATCTGTCAAATGAAATGAATCTTGCTCCCTTCTCAGTGTGTTGAAGAAAACTAACTTGTTATATGTAAAATATGTCATATTTGAGCTAGGTATTATCTTTTTGTACTTGGAAATCAGAAGTTAAAAAGAGGAAGTGTTTAAATTTTACTTATTGAGCAGTAAAAGATATATTAAATTCATAGGGAAGAGTTCTGCTTTAGTTTACAGAGTAATACAAGACTTTATTCTGACAATACAGATGCTGTCATTAACTGGCACGATGTCTTTAAAATCCATCCTGTAATGAGGAAAGAATTTCAAACAACATACCACATTATCTGCGGATATTGCCTGGTGATCTTCATCCTTATGTGTCCTGGTCTCATTTGGGATGACTTCATTGGGCTCCTCTATAGGAAGAAAAGGGAAGGTTTCTTGTATCTCAAAACTTTATTGTACTTTTAAAATAATGCTTCAACAATGACCGTCTTTCCAAAAACACACACATGGTAAATCTATGACAAATGTGCTTTCTTGTTAATTTTATTCGTTCATATCTTAGTTATATATTATATTTTAGTTATGTGGATGGATAGAAATACAAGGATTATCATCACTGTTCTAGAAACAATGAGAGAAAACTATATCTTCAACAATGGATAAATACAGAAGTCATTTATGTACTATGAAGCTGCCGAAAAACAAAGTAAAGTGAACTATTTTCAAGTGAAAAAACTGAAAGTGATAAAATCTGTGATGTAAGTTCACATAATTTTATATGTGGAAAAGAAAAAATACATTTTTAATGAACAAAAGGGTGACACCATTTGTGCTCAAGGTTTCCATTATTATCCTTAGATAGAGGTATATGTAACTATAAATTATTTTAACTTTAGTTTTTAAATTTTGTTTAGTTAAGCTTTTCTGCTGTATTACTCTTCTCTCTTTCTTTCTTCCTTCCTTCCTTCCTTCCTTCCTTCCTTCCTTCCTTCCTTCCTTCCTTCCTTTCTTTCCTTCTTTCTCTTTCTTTCCTTTTTATTTTGCCAGTAAGACATTACTACATAACCCTAGCTGGCAAAGAACTCCCTATATTGACCAGAATAACCTTAAAGTTTCAATAATTTTCCTGTCTCTGCATCCTAAGTTGTGGATTTACAGGCCTTTTCCACCACACTTGGCTTTATTCATTGTAATAAGACAAAACAGCAAAAACTTTCCATAAATGATATAAAATTATAAATGCAGATATCCAATTTTATAAGAATGCAGGATTATTTCAATACTTGTATACACATGCTCACTCTTGTACACTCTGTACATATACAAAGAGAAAATATTTGCAAAAATATGCCTCTCCTCCTATTTACAGAGGGTTATTCTCCAATGACTAAGGCTATTTCCATTTCCATAGTACTTCCAAATAAGTTCTACAATGGACATGCATCTTTCTGATCCAATTCAATATTTTAAATTTATAAAATAGAGATGAATTAATTCAGAGAAACTAGTTGAATAAAAAGCTATTTGTTATGAGCTATGGCAAGTGCCTGCTTCAAGGCACTGGGTGTTTCTGCATATATTACCCCTTAATCCCTTTATTTTATATTACCCTCTCCCAGATGCCTTAAAAATAGAGTAGCAATGTTTATGTCTGTGTCTCTCTTTCTTCACAGTAATTTCATGGAGATTATTTGGATAAATACTAGTAAAATTTCTCAGATCCTTGGTAAATAATATTTTAATTCGACTTAGAAAGCAGAACGAAAATATTTATCAGTCCTCCTAAGATTTTCCTACACCATTCATTCCCATGTACAAACATGGAGAAAGATTAGGAGAAATTCACTTATGAGAATTGCTTATGAGAATTCAAGTGTATGATATCCAAGAAAACTTCAGCAGAATTTTAATACATTGTTCTGTATAAATTCAATTTAACTTTCTTATCTCTACCATATACTTTAAATTTTATTGCATGTACTTTTGGTATATAACACAATACACATTTATATAGCAAAAAAGATTGCTATAATGAAACAAATTAACATATTTATCATCTCACAGTTTCCCATCCCCCAGGCAACAGATGCTATCATTACTTATTGAAAATCCTGGATACACAATACACTATCATTAACTATGGTCTTCATGCTCTTCATTAGATCTTTCTCCTTACTCATCACACACACTGCAAGTTTGTACCCTCTGAGCTATATCTCCCCATTCAAAAATCCACTGTTGTATTATAGTTGATATATTTGACCTTCCTTGCTCTGCTATTTTCTGCAACACGGATGAACCCAGGGGATGTTATCGAAGTTAAATAAGGCAGACAGAAAGAAACGAAAAAAATTGTATGATCTCATTTATTTGTGAAATGTAAGAAAAGTCAATTTAAAATTTTATAAAAACAATGATTCCTAGATAAAGAAAAGTTTACCTAGTCATTATTTAGACATTTCAAGCCACAGACATTTCAAGTCCTACATAATCAGTGATACAATGGAATGGAAAGAGGGAAATTTTTCATTAGCTTTAGCTGCAGACCTGATATTAGGAACAGTGGTCTCAGAAGAGGGGTTATATTATTCATCAACAAGATCATTACTGGCACTATTCCTTATAGGATTGCTGTACACTCCTCTTCAGATTGACTCATAACTTCATACACAGTTCTGGTTCACTGACAGCTTATTTATGCGTGGTTTTATTATTTTAGAAAATCTAAATAAGTTATTTTGAGGCTTCTGAAATAAAAAGGTGTGAAGTGATAAGCTGAATAGGAAATGCTTTCTTCTGCATATAGATACTTTTAACATTAGCAAAAGCTTGGGATTTAAACACTGTCAATGTGTCTTGGTAATTCCTCAAAAAAAATCTTTGCTTACTGAACAATATAAACTAGAATTAATCAGTAAAACTCTAGAGGGCACTCTATGTGGTGGCTATAAGCTCACCCTAAGTAAACTACGGGGAGTTACCTTTGATGCACACACCCTTCATCCTCCACATATTAATATACAGCTGAAAAAGAGGCACTATTATAGATGTAATGTTGTAAATAATAATTATTCCTATACTTTAAACCATTTGCCTCTCAGGATAGTTTTCTCAATCATAAATATATTTTGGTAGAAATCAAACTTAAAATTAAGGAGCTGAGTTAGTCAAGTATTATGTTTGCTGAAGTTTCCAAGTTGCACAAGGAGTAAAGCCATGTAGCTTTATTTTCTTCACAAATCAATCCAACCTTACCTATCTTCATTCCCTCCGAGGAAAACAGACAAGAAATGGGGAGGAGGAAGGTCAAGTGCAAGGCAGAACTGAGGTGAGTCAGAAGGTTAGTGTCAGGGACCTACATGCTTGTTCAGAAGCAAAGAATTGCATCTGAAACTGTTGAGGGATCACGAATACTTTTTGTTAGCTGGCAAAGCCAGACTCTTCACAATTTGAAGGAATATATTCTTCTTCACAAATACACTGAAAGAAAATTGTATGTTGTTTTCATGTGTTCATTTTACCATGTACTGTAATATGCAAGCACAAATTTAAAAATGTTTCTCTTTAAACATTTAAAATACTCTAATCCAGTTAAATTAACAGTTGTGCATAAGGACTTATAATTCTAGTTGTTAGGTTTTTGAAATATCTTTATATCTCTAAGAGGAAATCAATGGAAATCTCAATGTAAACAATCTGGCTACATTTTCACAAACTGGAAGAGAATATAGGTCAGTGTATTTTAGAGATAGGGTATTAATCTCAGCCAGATGATACAATTAATTCATACAAAAAGATCGCACAGCCAACTCAGTCAGATTAATATTCTCCATCTGAGATGAAGAAATTGTACAGACCTAGAAGTAAACAGCACCAAAGGGGCTCCTTCCAGTCTTTGAAAATGCTTTTCTGCTGCAATATCTGATGAGAATGAAAAGGTTACAGTGCAGCTGTGAAAAATAAGCCACCTGAAGAAATTCTAGGCAGCTACTTACATCTCATCCCTTGTTTTTTGATTCATACATTAAATTCTCTCTCTTCATTTTCTCATTAGGTCTTGATTACTATGCAAGCTATCTAGACAACACACTACTATATGACAAAGGATGCTAGGGCAGGAATAGTGGTTTATTAAATGTAGACCGTTAATGCAGACTTTAAAGTTAACATTCACTTTTTCCCATTAAGAGCTTATTTCCTAAAATTGTATTTTAGGAGGGGAAGTGACTGTTGGGAATGAAAGTCTGTACTCAGGGGCCTATGCACATTGCTTCATCAGAATACCTCCTCACATCAATCCTGTCCTTTTAGAGAAACATACAAACCCCCTCTGCCCTAGTCACTTCAAATAGCTGTTGGGTATTAGGCTCTAAAGACCCCATCATATAATTATTGTGAATTACCCAAAAATCTCTAGGCACATATAATTTTGGGAAGACTATCAGAAGACACACACATATTCACATATTTGCAGGACCTTATGAGAACAAATGACCTCAGAAATCACGAAGCACATTATTTCTTAATGATTTCTAAGCCTCCATCAGTTTTCCTACCCCACTAAGTTCTGCTGTGATTTCAATCTTAGGTGAGAAAGAGGGAGGAGGGAAGAAATAGAAGAAGGGAGAGGAGAGAAGAAAGAGGGAAAGAGAGAGAATATTCATATTTGATAATCTTTCAAACACCTGGACTTAAAATTCATCGTCTTCTCAACAGTGACAGCTTTTCTATGCCTTTCATTATTCTACCCATTACAATTTGCCTGTCTGCCCCTGGGCATGCAATTAATTGCTTTTGCAAAGAACCTCTTAAAGCCTGATTCAATGCCCTCTCCTTTCTACTCAATTTCTAGGAGATCATTGAGATAATGACCCCTCTTATTTCTGAAATCTTTTTCTTTCCTTGGATTTAGCAACGGCATACTATCCAGTTCTGTTGTTCCTGAATGTTCTTTCAGGGGCTACAATTTTTTTCCTGGGGCCCAAAAATGTAAATATTTCTCAACACATGGTCTTTCTCCATTGTCTTGTTTTGGGTTTTAAATTTTAATTTTCTCAATTAAAACTCCACTTCTGTGGTTGGGTGCTAATTGCCTCAGGTTGGCAGACTCCTGTTTCCTCTCCTGACTTAATGCTTTCTTTTTCTTTTGTGTTCCAGACCCATATTACCCAACAGTTTTCTGTGGATGTCCGGCTATTTTCTAAAACTCAGAACTGCAAACTGAATTAACCTTTCTAGTGACAGTCTATTTAATTGTAGTAAAAACTTTTAATACATTCTCAGGAGGAAATTGTGAAAAGATACAGCTAAAGAATTTTACAGTTCATCTAGAGCTAAAACAGAAACTTTACCAGATAGTAAGATATTTTATAAAGCCGTAGTTAAAAACAGATTAATGTAACATAATACGAAGCTCAGAATTTTCTCGTGTGTATATGTATGTGTACATGAATATGCATACATATAAATACATAATTTGTTTTGGAAAACTACACAGTAATTAACTGGACAGAGAATGAATTATGCAACATATAGTGTAGAACAGTCGCTTAACTATTTGGCAAATTGAAATTCTCAGTGAAATTAATATAAGATTGCTAAACTAAGGCCATAAGGATGCCAGAAGCAAATATATGAACTTATTTTCATAACTGTAGGGCAAGAAGAGACTATAATTAGGACTGCAAAGGCAGAAACCACAAAGGAAAATACTGCTGTGTCTGACAATGTAAAAATTATACTCCAAAATTTTACCACGAAAAATCAGAAACAGAAGGTAGTGATTGGGAGTAATGAGAAACCCTGATTCAAACTGATCAAATTCAAACTTCATCGCTTCAGTAATATGTCTTGTTTTCCTCTATAATGTAACTTTGGTAAATGTGTTCCGTTAATACTTTGTTTATTCTCCTAATCCAAAAATGGAGGAGTTGTTCCCCTGTTCTTCAATCTGTTTCCTAGTGATCCAGCATCCTCTCCAACTGGAGCTTCTGAGGTATCCTAAGTGACTGGCTAACAATCTAGATCTCACAGAGAGACTCAGTAATAGCACAAAGTTATGGCTGCTGCCAAATTTATTTATTATTGACCTAATTACTAAAAATGACTTTGTAATTATCCTAACATAAAATTATATATTGCACAAATAATGTCACTCTTGAAGATGACTAGTATAGATAAGCAACAAAGCATACACTTGTAATCCAAGTTCCTGGGAGGTAAAGGTTGGGGGGGGGAGGAGTACAAGACCTGTCTTTGTAGTACAGTGAATTCAAGACCAGTTTCTCTCTTCTCTCTCTCTCTCTCTCTCTCTCTCTCTCTCTCTCTCTCTCTCTCTCTCTCTCTCTCTCTCTGTCTCTCTGTGTCTCTATGTGTGTGTGTGTGTGTGTGTAGATGAATCATAAAATGTTAAGAGGCAAAAAAAAGAAAAATAAACAAGGAGTTGGTGTGATGGCTCAGTGAGTAGAGCACTTGCCATATAACCATAAGGACCATAGTAGGTATAGTCACCCACCAGTAATTCCATTCCAGTGGATGCGATGGAGACAGGGAATTCTCAGAACAAGTAGGATAGTACCAGAAAAGAGATACTTGAGTTGTGTGCCTACATACATGCAATGCAATCACACCGACAGACCTACAGACATCATACACATATACACACACAAAATAGATAAATAAACAAGAAAAGAATTTGCCAATATACTGAACTTATATCAGTGAAAGAAAATAAAAACAAGCAAATGTGAGAATGAGCTCTTAATTTCTGAAGCACAGGTACAAAAGGACTATAGATTTTATTATCAGATTCAGATAAAGTACGTGGAAAAGACATGCTTGCATAGACAGAAAGTAGATTAGTGCGCCTAAAGCTCAGGACAGAGGACATTGACTAAACATGGGAATATCCGAAATAAAAATTTAGTGGTGCAGATCTAAAAACTTCCCTAAAATAACTGGATTGCGTATTTGTAAATAATATTTTATGGTATGTAAAGTAAATATTAATAAATATTGTAATAAAATTATACCAGAACTACTTATTTCTGTGCTTGAAATCGAATAAAATATTCTTCGTGGGTAAATGGCATTAATCTATGCTTTGGCATACAGTCTTGTTCAGGGATGCATTGAGAAGTATTATAAAGATGAGTCTGTTTAATTCCCTTTAACAGGTGAAGAAGGGAGTTTAATGAACTGAGTTAAATGCTTTGCCTCAAAATGTACAAATCGCTAGTGGAAAAACACTGAGTAGCAACTAGGATCTCAGATCACAAGCCTATAGTTCATTATATACTATACTATCTTGTTGAAATATTTTTAAGTTCTGACATAACTGACTAGAATTCCAAATATAATCTCTTATCTGGTTCTAGTATAAGGACTGTTGTAATAACTAACATTTTTTAAAAGCATGGCATTACTACTGTGATAGATGAATATTCTTTGTGATGACTTGATATGGAAGACTTTTTACGTAGAAGCATTAAAAATCTGTTTCTTTTCAAATGCTTAGTCATATGTTTTGAACACTCTAGACTTAAAGTGTTGTACACTGAAAAGCAAGTAAAAATACATCAAATTTCCAAAGGCTGTTATTAGGAGGTGCAGTAAAGTACCTTGAGAGCTTGCTTCGGACAAACAGATGGACACTTCATCATTCCTGTCATTATCCTCCCCTACTTCAGGCCCAGCTTCCTCTCCTGGTGGGAGTGCAGACAAAGAAGCAGACTCAGGCTGCTCAGAGAAATCAGCAGGGCCTCCTCTTGGAGGTGGAACTTCAATTCCCATTAAACGATATTTCCTTCTTCGATTCCCAATCCAAGTCTTTGTAAGAGAAATATAAGCAATTTTAGACAACCTAGGCATTAGAATAACAAATAAATGAAGCATAAAATAGGATTAGAAAAGACACATAAGCACATGAAACAATAAAACTTTTATGGCACAAAGCAAAACTAGAAAGTTGTTTTTAGCAGAAGATGGTATTTATTTAAATATTTAGACTTTCAAATGACATTCAGGCTATTAAACATGGCCTTTGTGCATGCTTTCATGTTCTATTTCTAAGGAAAAGAATTCCCCAATTCATTAAACAGGAAAAATGAATTGCTGTTTCTTCAATGAAATTAGGCTTACAGCAATAACTATAGCTCATATTCCACCTCAAGATTTGCTATCAAAGGTGAAACTATGCTCTCTCTGTATATGTTTGAAGCAGGCTTCAAAATACCTGCTTATAGTAGTCTTCATTTTTGTTTTTATTAGATTTATACCTAATTAAAGATGGTTATGTTTTTAAATCAATATTTGAGACCAAACCCAGAGAGCTAAATGTGGTACTACTGAGCTATACCATTAGATATAATTTTTGTTGCTTTTGGTGTTGCCTTAAAGAAAGCCTCTCATCCTATAACCCTGGCTGGTCAGGAGCTCACAATGTAGCCTGTGCTCCATTAAACTAAAAGCAATCCTCTTGCCTTAGTCCTCTCAGCACTGGCATTACAGGTGTGAGAATCCATGGCTAGCTCCAGTACTTTTTTATCTTGAAATATATGTAAAGTCACAGAAATTCTCAAATTTCAGAGACAGATCTTTGTCTATTCTTCACTTTGTTTCTTGTGACTTATGCCTTAAAAAATTACAGCACAATATGAAAACTAGTAGTCCAGGTGTAGAGTGGCCCATGCCTATAATTCTGGCACTCGGGAGGTTGAGACATAAAGATTGCTGTGAATTTAGTGTCAACTTGGGATACACAAGGAGTACCAGGCCAGTCAGGGATACTTAGCAAGAATATGTATGTATGTATGTATGAAAAACATGGATATATTCTGTGCCCAGTTTTTGGCTATTACACATAAAGCTCCTATGAAAAGTCATTTATAACATTTTGTGTAGATATAAATTTTAATTTTATATTCTTCTTAACAATGTATCAGTGATTTTTCAGTATTTAATAATATAATATATATAGTAGAATTATATCGCTATGCTGAGTATGGAACCATAGGTTACACTCATGCTAAGCAAGCATTCAATCGTTGAAATTCATGCAGTTTTTTTTAGTTTTTTTAATGACCAATGATGTTAAACATTGCTCCACATGTTTATTTGGTATTCATATAGCCTCTTCAGTGAAATGTCTCTTCTTTGCTAATTGAAGTATTTAACTGAACACTCAAGATAGTACTTTGAGAGTTCTTTAAATACTGTGTATTAATTCTTTGTCAGATAAGTGGTTGACAAATATTTTCTTGCCGTATATAGCCTGAAATTTTATTCTGCATTTTCTGTAGCACAAATATAAAACATCTTGAAAATACACCTCGCTGAAGTTGTTGGTCAGAGGTGCGCCAGATACCCTCAAAATAGTGCAGGCAAATTGCCTTTCTCTTGGTTGCATATCAGAACTTGATGGTAAGACCTTATTGCTGAAGACATCCCATAGTTTGGACACAGAACATGGAGAAATTAAGTCGTTACTGACTAGGAAGCTTCCTCCTGGATGTCTAGCTTTCATAGTACCAGAAGATTTTATGTTGGTTGGTGAGATTAAAGTCATCAGCAGTCTTACCCAGCTGTAAGTGGTATGAGCTACAATATTGATCAGTATGGCAAGATACACTCATTAGTGAAATAGTGGCACTAATGTTGCAGGAATAATCAGTCATTCTCTGCTTGGGTTCAAGACCTGCCCTACAAGAGAAAATGCATTCCTAGTTCTGTATATCTGATAAAGAACCCATGGGTGGGGAGCTCACAGGCCCCTAGTGGGGGAGGTGAACCTGCTACTATTGTTTTTCTTAATGGACATAGTATCAAACTGTCTCCTAAACTTGTATCTTTATGTTGTTTTTGTTTTGTTTTTTATCTCAACCAAAGTTTCCCCTCCTCCCTCTTCTTTCAGTTCCTTACTCCTCCTCCTCTCTACCCTCACCTACTCCTACTCCTCTGTTTTTCTTCAGATATGGGTGGGCCTTCCATGGATATCAACCAGCTATGTCTTAACAAGTTTCAGTGAGACTAAGCACCTCCTTTCTTACTAAGGCTGGACTAGGCAACCTGATAAGAGGAATGGGTCTCAAAAATCAAGAGTCAGAGAAAGCCCCTGCTCTCACTATTAGGAGTCTCAAAGGAAACCAAGTTACACAACTGTAACATATGTGCAGAGGGCTTAGGTCAGTCACACGCAGGCTCTCTGGCTGTCGGTTCAGGCTCAGTGAGTTTCTATGAGCTCAGCTTAGTTGATTCTATGAGCCTTCCAGTGATGTCCTTGATCTTTTGGCTCCTACAATCCTTCCTCCCTCTCTTCCACAGGATTTCCCCAAGCTCAGGCTAATATTTGGCTATGGATCATTGCATCTGCTCTCTCCAGTTGCTGCATGAAGCCTCTCTGATGACAGTTGGGATAGGCACCAATCTATGAGTATAGCAGAATATTATTAGGAACCATTTCATTGACTTTTTCTTTCTTTGCCAGTCATATTTGGTTCTATCCAATTTGTGTCTTTATACCCACAGATTGGTACCATTCCCAGATCTCATTAAAGAAGTGTCTTTGCACAGTGGAGGGCAGTTAATGTAGAAAGTCACAAATAGTCAAAGTGCAGAGAATAAGGGCTCATGGTGTGTATACAATAAATGAGACATCTGTATTACACCCTTCTCTCCAAGGCTCTGGGAGTATTTCAGAAGAAGGAGCTCTCTCCAAGGCTCTGGGAGTATTTCAGAAGAAGGAGCTGAACAATTTTAAGAATTAGAGGTTTTGGAGAACCAGAATGAAACAGTGTCTTCTGGGCATGATATGGTTGTTGTTCCCATGAAATCATAGCAGATGTGGTTGGCTACACAATTTCAAGCCAATCAACATTTCAACATGGACGCCGGGCGGTGGTGGCACAAGCCTTTAATCCCAGCACTCGGGAGGCAGAGGCAGGCGGATCTCTGTGAGTTCAAGGCTGGGCTGGACCGATAGCCTCCAAAACAATACAGAGAAACCCTGTCTCGTAAAAACCAAACCAAACCAAACCAAAAAAAAAAAAAAACATTTCAACATGGAGGATAAGTGGCTCATAAACCTCTACCCTTAGCTGAAGAGGTAGTAACAGCTTCTGAGGTAAGGAAAATGAGTTTTCTTTAAGGTGTTGCCACTGGCTGGTTGACAGCTTCCAGTTGATGGCTTTATATCATGACAATCTGGTTACTACAAACGGGACTCAGTGACTTATTTGTTTTTAAAAATGAGAGACAGATAGAACAATGTGAGGTGCACTCTCACCCTGAACTCTTGGGAAAGGGTCTAGGCCCTGCCCTATATGAAATGACACACTATGGACACCCCCATGGAGGGCCTCACCCTCCCTGGAGAAATGAGGGGATAACGGGGGGGGGAGGGCACGGGAGGAATGGAGGGAATGGGAGAGGGACCTGGAACTGACTTGTGAAGCAACCTTGATTCTTATCTAAATTTAAACTGGAAAATAAAATAAAAAAAAATAAAAAAAATAAAAAAAGAGAGACAGAAAGGGAGTGGATTAGGATGGGAGAAAGATGGGAGGAACTGGGAGGAGTAGAGGGAGGGGAAACTGTATTTAGATTATATTTAGAGAAAATAATCTATGTTTAATTAAAGGGTAAAAGACATTAAATTGGGAAGGAGTAGATCTGAGAGAAGTTATAGGGGTGTTGGGAATAATATGATCAAAATATACCACATGCATGTATGAAATTATAAAGTGATTAATATTTTGTTTTGGTTTTTGAGACAAGGTTTCTCTGTGTAACTTGGTCTGTAGACCAAGCTAGCCACGAATTCATAGAGATCCACCTGCCTTTGCCTCCCAAGTTCTGGAATTAAAGGTTTGTGTCACCACTGCCTGGCCAAAAGTGTTTTTTTTAAAGAAAACTGGTTAATGTTTTTGGCAGTGGGTTCATTGAAATGATCAGTGACATTGACATTTAGAAAGACTAGCAAAGTCAGAGAGATGGCACAAGTTATTAATATCAGAAATAAATCAGAGTATGTTACTATAGCCTTTGTAGGCATAAAATAAACATAAAAGGACAATATAAACAACTCTGTACACACAAAGGATGATTTGAATAAGATGGAACAATTCTTTCAAAAGTGCAAATTAACACAATATAAACAAATTACTTGAATAGTAATTTAACTGTTAAGAAAATTTAGTTTTCCATTAAAAACTACCCTATAAAGTAATCTCCAGGACCCCAAATCCTACCATTAAGCAGCTATTTTCATGCTTAATGATAAAAAGTGGAAGAACGTAAAAAAGATATCCATTCTAGTTACTTGTCCACAACATAGACTTGACTGAAGGAATGTACAGGAGCTCACACAGATCAGAAAGGAAGCATGAAAACTCCCCCATTTGTAGATTAAGGATATGGTTTATACAGAAGATTCCAAGAAATACTCCTATAACTATTAAGTGAAATCAACAAGTGAGATGTACTAAACAACACAAAGAAAGCAACTGCTTTCTATAATCTATGCAATAAAAGTAAACATAATGTCTTGGATATGGTGGCATACATCTTTAATCTTAGCACTCTGGAGACAGAGGCAGGTGACTCTCTGTGAGTTTGAGGCCAGCCATGGCTAAATAGTGAGACCCTGTCTTTATGGAAAAGTGAACACAATGAAGTTACAATTAAAATCTTCTATTACTTTCTTCCCTCTCTTCTTTCTGTGGTTCTGAGGATTAAACCTCCCATGCATAGGAGGCAAGCTCTTTACCCCTGAACTACACCCCCAGTCCTACACTTTATTCAGTCCTCCCAAACAAAATACACAGAAACTT